GTGTTTGGATGGTTCCTGGCATGGGGGCTTTCATCATGGCTGTAGTCTCTACAGGCTAACATAACACAACGTGTAATGAATCCTGGTATTAAATACTTCACCTGGGTTGCTTTAAGCTTCTACTTTTGAATCCCCTTACCTCCCTTCTTCATGGGGTTCACTTTGTGCACATGTGTGAGCTTAGGTCACTGTATGATCCTACACATAATAACAATTTTGGCTACCCTGTCAGTGCAAAGCAACTGAAAAGTAGCTAGAATAATTTAAATGGTCCTACTAGAGGCTGACATGGCTCCTGGAAAGCCCAAAGTCAGAAATGGACAGTGCTTTGAAGTTCCAGGTAAGAGCCGTGACAATTTACACCTTCTTATACAAACTGGTAATTTTACTCCTAGATGAGCATGAACAGGCATACACTTACACTGGCATCATTTACATTGGAGTTGAATGCAGAAGAAAATGTCACAATGTTCAGAAATGGACAGATGCACAATTATTCCCTGGCTATTTTTCAAGCGTTCACTGGAGAGTCAATTGCTGTATAAGAGGAATACAGGGCTAAGACTACCATGTTGAATTCTTGGAGGCCTGAATTTGTTTTGGCTCATGACCATTTGCAGTATGTTATATATTTCTACTGCTTGGCCACTCTGTTCCAATGAGCCAGCCACTTACCTAGGCCTGAAAGGTTAGGGCCATCTAGTCCAACTGCCTGAACTGATGAGGATTTTACTGTACCTACTCATTTCTGAGAGATGCCTATCCCGTTAATAGGTATCTCATTCTTGAGGGGGGAAAATCAAATTCAGGTTACTTGCTGGCTTTCAAATATGGAACCTGCTAGGAACAGAGAAAGACCAAATGAAGCAAATCTGTATACTTTTACATGTGCATCCTGATAAAGAAAGTAAGGCTGGTGTCATTTCAGATCAGCATATCACTCCAAAATAGAGAAAATGAATGGTGCTTCTCTAGCATTCCTGAAGCAGGAATACCCTATATGTAGTCCTCTGCTATTTTTTGGAAGTGTCACAAAAGCTTTCTCCTTAGTGACATTTTTTTTGCTCCCAGAGAGGTGAAGCTTTCTAAAAACACTTGCTGAGGATAATTTTCAGACTCATGAATAGTAATCTCTCCCTTTCTCACTTATGATGACATTTCAAACCAAAGTGGAGTACAGGGCCACAGTTCTACACTTCATGATATGAATTAAATCTACATAAATTATGCAAAATATTCATTTTCACTTGTTTTCCCTTTGTTTTTATAATTATAAGTGTGAAGTAATTTATTCTGCCAAGATCCAATCTGTATTACAAGTGATAACTGAATTAGATGGATAGGCATAAGTAGTACTTGAAAAAATATTCCAGAGATATCAAATATAAAATAATAGAAAGCCAGAGTGCCAAAATAGATGTGGATATCAAAAATGGATCTTGTAAAGGATACTGAAATGAAAGTCAAAAACCCTACAGCTTATAACACTAGGGAGATGTGCACTTCAGACACAGCTTCTTTTGGCTGAGCTCACATTGCACGCTGGGCCTTCTTGCATTTCTTCTACTCCAACTCAAAACCCCCTTCTGTGCCATACTCACATGCCTCATCTCCTCTTGATGCCTGCAACTCTGCCAACATTGCTCCCAGGCTGACAACTCTTCTGGGCATATGATGGCAGTACGCTCCAGCTAGAAGGGCTCCATGTGCACACTCCAAATCTGGTTTGTCAATTCTGGGGCCATCCCCCAAGATGGCTTGCAAGCTTACTGAAAGGCCCAGAAGTGCCTAGAGAGGATTTACCTTAGAGAATCAACACTGGTGCATTTCCAAGTTTGGAGCCTGCAGGCAGGGGCAGGTGGGTTGGCTGTGCTTGGGGCCATCCTGCTTGGGACACACTGCTATCACATTGCAGGCATGCCCTGTGTGTCTCCATTCCACCAAAGGGACGTTCCATGGCTTCTGTTTCATTCTCCTTGACAAGCAGTCCCTGTGCATTGCATTCACTCCAGTTCCCCGCACCAAGATCTCCTAGTTGTATCACTATGGTTCTGCATGTCTTTTTTTGGTCCTCTCTCCCCATCAAAGTCCTCATTCACCTCCTATGCAATGGGCTTTGTGTGCTCCATTTTCCCTCAGGCCAGACTCCTTCATTTTTCCCCAACATACCAAAGGCTGTGTGCATGCATCTCTTCCTTCATCCCCCCACATTTTCATTTATCTGGGAGATGGAGATTATGCAGGGTGTCAGCATGTTAACCTCTATTGAAAGACAGGCAGAGATGAGCTAGGAATGTTACTCTGGAAGGTGTAAATGGGTGCCATCAACCAGCTGTCTCATTTATAGATAACTGCAGAAAAACTTAAAGCTAAGGCTGTGCCAAATAAATGCCCTCTTGGTTTTCTGATTCCCCTTTCCCCGCCTATATCAATAGAGTTGTAGCTCTTGATGCCTACAGTGTTCACGCTGAAATTTTGGCATTGGCCAGATACTGCATTCAAAGGTTACCAAGTTAGCAAGAGACAGAGAAATGTCATAATGTTGAGTGTACAGACTCTCAAGCTTATCCAGTAATCACAGCAGAATGGCAAAAGACATTTTCTTTCCCTTCTCTTAATGTGCATATAGGAGAAAGATTTGTAAATACAACAGAACAGACTGAGGTAAGAATCCAATTGATCAAATTTAGGGTTTACCACTGGACACTGCCCAAAAATTGGAAAAGGAACCGTAACCCTGAGGATCAAGATGCCACAGAAGAGCTATTCATTTACCACAAGATAAATGCATGCATAGGGGCAGGAGTGTAGGTTGTAGCCGTGTTGGTCTAAGAACATAGGCAGGCAAGGTTACTTGGGTGAATCTGATATCACCCCTCCCCTGTACAGAAAATCCTCAAACAATTGCAACCCATACTAGACAGAGACCCTATTCTTAAAAAGATCTTCCCAGAGCCACCCATCCTAGCCTTCAAACAAACACCGAACCTTGCCAACCTCATCACCAGAAGCAAACTTCCTCAAGCCCAGAACACACCAAAAGGATCCAGACCGTGCCAGGACAAGAAATGCAAAACCTGCCAACACATCTCCACCACCCCCACTATTACTACACCCCACAACAGAGCCATCAGCATCCCAGGATCTTACAGCTGCACCTCCAGGAATGTAATACACCTCATCCAATGCACCAAATGCCCTGATGGAAGATATGTAGGAGAGACCAGACAACAACTGCGCACCAGAATGAACGCACACCGGAAATCTATCAAAGACAGAAATACCCAATTACTGCTTCGGGCACATTTCTCACAAGAAAACCACTCTCTCTCCAATCTCTCAGTCCTGATCCTCAAGGGAAACTTACACAACACTTCCCAGAGACGAGCCTATGAACTCCACTTCATCAACCTCCTGGATACTACAAATGATTGACTAAATATAGACATTGGATTTATGACACATTATAACCTGCCTGACATCTGACTCCCCAGGTAATTCTCCACTTTCATCCCCCTTTTCTCTCTCTCTCTCCACCCCCCCACCCCCGCCTGTGTCTCACCCATTGACTCCTCAATCTATATTTTCACTGACTACCTGTCTTGTATGCAGCCCAGCCCAGCCCCGGCTTCTTTACTTTTCATTCCATCCAGGAAGAGCACACACCAACTGCTGAAACTTCCTTAGCCTGACGAAGGGTTTTTGAACCCAAAAGCTTGCTTAATAATTATTTTCCAACTATCTGGGTTGGTCTAATAAAATATATCAGATTCACCGAAGGAACCTTGTCTGCATAGGGGCAGTAATCAGGGAGCAGCTTATATGCTCCATGGGCAGTTAATGTCTTGTTCACTTTTGCCCAATGGTAATGTGTTGTTCATCTGCCTATACCCAGAGGTATAGGTGGCCCTAGAAAGTAAATGAAATTTTGACTTTCATATCCTTCTTTTTTTTCCTAGGCTCATTCTCAGCTAAAGTAGCTTCATGTCACTTCAGTACCATTGGTACAATATCAATTTCCACTACTTAAGGATCCATCTCTTTGTTCTCAATTTCTCATTTCTTCTTCATTTTATTATGCCTTCCCCAGTCCCCCAGAAGCAGTAATATCCCTTTCATTTTCAGGGTTTTGTTTTCTTCTGAAAACAGCAACCTGTCAGTGGAAAACCTATCCAGTCAAGTCCTTAAGATGCCATCACTACAACCCAGATCTTGGGCTTTGTACACATCTTGTACACACCCCCTCTTCTAAGCAGTTTTGCCATCCCCCTAACAAAAGTGGCATTAATGGAGTTCTTCTGAGTTACACAGGCACGTGACTCAGACTCACTGGCTTTAATAGGAACCATGCATTTGAATAGCAAGCATGCACCCAATATCAGGCCCTAGATATTTCTAAGCTTACAGTAAACTTCTATTTAATATCTTGAGCACACAGTGAGAAACTACTGTATACATCTGGGGAAGAATGATTATGTAGCCACTGTGAAAGGGGGAATTGCAACAGCAAGGTTGAGGAAAATCTAGAAGAGCATTTCTTTAGATTACCCAACAAAATGATATACTGTACGTTAGAAACTGTACAAGATAAATCTGCATCTAACTTCAACCAAAGGAAGAGATGGTAGAGATAAAAACATACCAATAATATAGAACAACTGGATACCAAATAAGAAATAATGAATACAGCATACAAAATTACAGAAGATAACAATCTTAAAAATCCTGTCAAGCTTCATCAAACATAAACACTGAATCTATTAAGTCTATCTCTGAAGAAAACCTGAATATCCTCTCTCTTTCTTTTCTACCTTTTGGTTGGTAACACGTATTTATCCTCCCTGCCTATTGTTCATTTGACAGGTGTAGATGTGTAGAGGAACACTAGAAGTTGCAAGGGTCCCAAGAGAAAGGTTCACTAAAAATCTACTGAGGCAATTAACAAAACACACATTTTCCTCTTCCTTATGCCTAGCTTGGCATCTCCAGCTGTAACTCACCATCAGATAGTGTCATGACTGTAATATCTTCACTGGATACCCCAGGACCATAACGATTATAAGCCAGGAATCGTAGTGTGTACTCTGTGAATTTCTTCAGCCCTTCCAGCTTGTAAGATAGTCCATCAACCTCTATATTCTGGGGAAATAAAAATGATAAACTATTACTAAGTGGCAACATTAAAGTGAGTACGGTAGTGATGCTGGGGAAATGAAAAGATAAGGGGCCAACTTTTAACTTTCTAAGAAAGAGAGCTAAATCATTATTTAAGTTGGTATAAAAACATAATTTGTAACACAGAATTACTTGTTACAGCTCAGTTCTCAATAGACCTCATGATATTAAATCATCACATTATCTTCAGGATACAACTGCCTTCAGTGCTTAGAAGTGTGGTTTAACTAGTATCTGAAACAGTAGAAAGTTTCTTTGGTTAAAGCACTAACTATCACCCCCCCAAAAAAGCAATAGGGAAAGGAAGAAAAGAAGATGATGACTATAAGGGCACAGAGTCAAAAAGGCAATCTAGGAGAAAAATCAGAAGGAAAAAAAAGAAAATAGCATAGAAAATTGATTGGGGAGGGGTGGGCAGAGAAGACAATGTTCTTGTTAGAATACAGATAAATCTGCCCCAGTTTTTTAAATGTCAATCACTACTAAAAGTTGGTAATCAGTAATCTGGTTTCACTTAGAGACAAAGAGGTCACTATTTTACTGCTTGTCCTATCCATTTCTAAAATCCTATTCAAGTCACACCTCATCCAACCAGCATCTTCAAGTGGCCCATGCAGATGGCATCCTAACTTTTCACTGATATCTGACCCTGTAAACAATCTGGACAGTTTGGTTTTGTCTTTGATAGAGAGTAGCATTGTTGGTACATGGACCATGATCTTCATGTATACATTTCAATAATATCTGAATAGCTTTTGAATATCTATAATACTAAATCTAATAATAATCAAATACCCTTTTCTTATATCTCATGTGTGAGGCATACACACCATAGCTAGGTTTGATTTATGTTATACTCCCAGAATAGACTTGGCCTTAAAGGAAAGGAGAAAAGGGGTAGCATGGAAATAAATCAGATGATACGCTATTTCCCATTGCATGGGGAGAGCTCTCATTAATGCCAAGGACAGTTCTGTTCAAACAGGAGTTTGCATTGTGAAGGACCTTTATAGAGAGAGACATCTTCAAGATTTTAGCATGCACCTAAAGCATCCTCTACATGTAACAGGTATTGCACAAATAACGGGTTAATTGTGCAATTACCTTGAGACCAGCTACAAGTGCTAAGTACTTATCACATGATAAAAAGCTCCAACCCGCTATAAAGCTAGACCTTGAAAGTGTGTACTGACTTTACAGCTGGTTGCTGTCCAGCTTTAAATTCCACATGTAGCAGGGTTTCCCCTGCAACTGTGAGCTCTGTCAGGTGATGAGGCTCCCAGGGTTGCACTATGCCCAGCCGGGGCTGGGAGTCCTGCAACCTAGAGGACTCTCAGCCTCAGAAGCTGCCAACTCTGAGTCCTGGCAGCACAGGGACCCAGAGCCCCACAGCTGCGAATGCTGGGTGCCAGGACCAGCTGGTTCCCAGCAGTTGGGGGCATGGCTGACTCAGGAGGGGTGGGGGTGAAACCCCTGGGGCTGGAGGATGATGGAAGCCATGATCAGTTGAGAGGCTTCCAGCTGCAGGACTGTGCTTTTTGTCAATGCAGGGGAAGCCCGGGATCAGGCCCCTCCTGCACTGGCAATAAAGCACAATACTTGCTCCCACAATTACAGCTCCTATCATGTACATGCGCATCTTGATTGTGTGGATCACGGGTTAGAGGCTTCTATCTCCTCTACCCTGCACCCAGTGCCATAGCAAGGGTGGGGAGGGGGGGAGGAGTAGCAAGCAGGGCAACCACCCTGGGCACCAAAGTGAAGGGGCATCAACAGGTGCTGCCCAGCCAGAACAAGGCATGGGACGGAGCCACAAGCACCGTATTTAGTGGGGTGTGGGCATGGCAGCTCCCACCGCTGTGTGCACTACCAGGAAAGCATGGGGGGGCATGTGCATCCCTGGATCTGTGCACAGGATGAGGGCAGGCTGCCGTTGCAGGCTTGCCCCGGGCACCCTACTTAGTTGCTACGGTACTACCCGCACCCATTTTATGCATGCTTAAATATGCATGGCACGACTTCCTCCATTTATATCAACTGTAATTCTGGGCACTCCTGTTTCATCTCAGTGTGAGTGAAAGAAGAATAAGACATTTTGTATTTTACATACAATGCAAAATAGGCTGATATACTATCCAGCTGACACAGCAATGTGAGTGTATTTTACTCAACATTTCCCCAGCACTTATGGTGAAGAGTAACCACTTCTGTCTATTATGTCATTAAAATGAACAGAAATGTTCACGATTGAGAGGTTTAAAATTGTTCAGTAGAGCTCCATTGTCACGTAGATTGACAATTTGTGCTCCTTCCTCTCTGACTTTCACATATGTCTTCGAAAAAAAAACCTTGCCCTCACAATTAACCAAGCAATAGACCTCCTTTCAGGTGCTCACCTGTTCTTTTCCAGTGGCAGTCTCTGTGCAGAACAGTCTGTATCCTTGGATTGGACCATTTGCATAGGCAGGGGGGTCCCAGGAAAGAAGAATTGAGGTAGGTGAGGTAGATACAGCCCGCAGGTTTTCTACTGGCCCTGGAACTTGCACTGCATAAAAAGAAATTGCCTGAATAAAAGTGATCATTTATTGGCAGCTGAATTCCTTAATATTTTTGTTCTGCTTTTTGCTGTGCCTCTGGCAACAGCCTGGCCCAAAATATCCCCCTAAAGAAGTACCTTTTTTGTAGTCTATAACACTAAATTGGAGCTAAATGTTTTTCCTGTTGAACTGAAGTTCAATTCCCAGAAAGACAGTGCACAAAAGACTTGAATGGCAAAACCATAAAGCAGATGCTGCAGAGAGATGCTATGATAGATGCCACACTCTGAACATAAGGAATACTCAAAAGATGGTTCCAGCAGGGTCCTACGTGTTACATGTATGCGTTTGTGGCTGAATGGGTGGATTCTTCTTGGCAGAGAAATCTTTGAGGGGTAATTAATTTAAATGTTTAATGCGAGTAATGATCTTCATACCCTGGGGAGAATAGCATATACTAGTTTGTTCTGGTTCATGGTACCTGACAAACAAAAAACCCAAGAGAAACTTGATGAGAGGAATAGACATTCACGCTGAAGAACAAACTGACAAACTTAAGAAAGGACCTGCAGGCACTTATGTGGATGACAGGTAAATGCTGGGAAGCTTAGCAGGCAGGGGAGCTATTTATTGTTTTAAGATCTGTTTTCTGTCATGCTTTTGTCCTAAATAAAAAGCATCCTGCCTTCTGAGAGATGGCTGGTCATGGAGTAACTGTCATTGTCCGTGAGAGAGAGCAGATCTGTAGGTGCAAACCTATTGGAGTGGTCCCAGTAAGTTGCAAGGGGACGACAGCCTAAAACCCTGGTCTGGAGGGAGAGGAACGTGAGTTTCAGCCACAAGAAAGATGGTGGCTAAGGCCTGAAACCTAACAAAAGTTGCCCCTGAGGAAGCTAAAAAAGGAGTTAGGGGTGCAGCACTGTGATAAATACAACACTGGATCAGGTTATTTACAGAAAATGTATTTACAACACTGGATCTTGCTAATTACAGCATAAAAGCATCTTGGTAAAATATGGCCCATCATTGAACCTGCTTAGAAGAAAAAGGTAATTTATAGATATCAGTCTAAATCTGATGATCCCAGGATGCATTTGAGAAATGCAGAGGCCTTAAAAGACCAATTTATAAAACAACAAATGACAAAGGTCTACAGTCTCAGGCTGGAAACATTGAAAAAGCCCAAGGTGGAATTGATCTAAGATACAGTTTCCTGGAAGCAGCGTAGTTTAGATTGCTAGCAGATAGACCACACATTTATCCGTTGTTGTGGGGGGGAATCTTAGACCAGGTTCTGCCATTTTTTAAATCCATCTATATGTGTCGAATGTCTCTTAGGCTAGGGACAGACATTCAAAAAGCCTGAGCCTGAATTGATTTAATCTTTGCAGGTTACTCTAACTTGGCTAAGTTAAATCACTTTAACTCACTCTGCTGTGGAGCAGAGAGCCCCACCCAGCCCAGAGATGCTGGGGGTATCTGGTTTACCTTAAACCAGCAAGGGGTCTGGGACAGACATTGCATAAAGCACTTTCATCCAGATCAGTTAACACTGATACTACATTCAACCAGGTTTAACTCAAACCGGTGTCAGCCATTTTCAAACTGGTTTATGTGACCCGAACATCTGTTCTGTTACAGGTTTAAACCAGTTTCTGATTACCTAAACTGGCTTATGTGGCTTATCTGTCCCTAGCCTCAGAGGTATAGACTGGTTTCCGATCACTTATACCAGTAGAAGTGTAATGTCTGTGCCTGGCCTGAGGTACCAACACAAAATCCTTCTTTCCAGGAAAATACAGCCTAGCTTCGCCAAACCTTTTATGCATCTCCTCCAGCTCTCCACAGCCTCGCTTACATGCTATTTGTTTACAAATTGATTTACTGAACCTCATGCTGGCGTAGCTTCTTATTTCTAAGGCTTTTAACCCCCCTGAGTTATTTCCTACCTGCATTATTTGCCCACATGTAGCTGTGTGTATTATTTATTTAACCTTTGATATATTTCTTGTGCTTTCTCCTATTACTTCGGATAAAAAATAAATGGTTTAGAAAAACATCAACAAAATCTAAATCAGCCACCACCACAATAAATATATCGTACTTGCACTGAAAAAATACTAGGAAAACCAATGAGAGGCAGCTTATGAATCTGCATTTATAGTTTTGAACAGTTAAATATAGGACTACGCCTTCACAGACTGATCGTTTGGAAATGGACATTTCTCTAGCTCTGACAGAGCGAATTCACGTTGTTTAAGGTGGCATGAAATGTGGGCCAAATATTTCAGGTAGGGGACTTGATCATGGATACTTAGATAGATTGAGTGGGATCTACTCAATTTGCGATTTTCGCGGAAACCATGAAAAAACGTGGTTTCTGTTATCACTGCAAAAACTGGCATTTGCCGCAAATTTATGCAGCATTGCCGGGGGGGAAAAACTTAATACAAATAAAATGCTGGCTCCTCAGCGGGAGCAGCTGCTGCAGCCTGGCCTTGCAGCCCACCAGGAGGAGGAGGGAGGGAGATAGAGCTTCTAGCATGAAAAGGAGCAGCCAAGATGGCGGCTGCCCCCTCTTCCTTCTGCTGCTGACTGGCTGAGAGGGCTGGCTGCCTTTTGTGTGGTCCCACTTCTCTCCACCAATCAGCAGCAAGGGGCAGAGCTTCATGAAGGGCAGCCCTCTCCACCAATCAGTGGTGAGAGGAAGGGCCACAAAAAAGGCACCCCTCTCAGCCAATCAGTGGTGAAGCCTGGGGCTGCTGCGGCCCCTCAGCCAATCACTGAGGGGGCAGGGGTGCTCACTGAAAAAAGACTGCAAAAATGGCACTGGATGCCACAAGCAGCCTACAATTTTTATTTTGTCTCCATGTGTTTTAAGTAGATCCCTAATCGCAGATAATGACTTTATGTTGCACAACATTAAATATATAACTAATATATACTTCTGTCCCAAAATAATATTATCATATTTATACACTGTGATCATAGCTGTAGCCTTCTATGGGCTCA